TGCAAGGTGCCACAGCGAGGGGAGATCCAAGGGACCCCAGTGGGGTTGCCCTCGGCAGGGTGGTGGACATGCAAGCAGCAAGCGTGGGAGCCCCTGGCCCCTGACCAGGAGGAGAGCTCTGGGCTCCCCTCTGGTTGCACTGAGCTGTCTCTGATCCCTCACAGTGGCCAAGGTCTTGGGAGCATCCTATCTCACAGGGACTGGAGCGGCACAGGCATCCCATTAACAACCAGTGTGGGACACGAGCACCATCCTCAGTGGGCGCAGAGATGCCCATACCCAGCTCGTGTACCACAGCGGGGCAGTTTCACCCCAGCCTGGGCTGCAGCCATGCCAGGTTTGTGGCCACACACGGGCTGGGGGTGATGGAGGGTTTTTTTTGCCAAGAGCAGGCAGTACAGCGATTGCCGCTGATGCAGAGCAAGTGAGGAAGGCTCTGCGCGAGGCACCCGTGTCCCCAGGGCTCAGCTCAGCAGTGTCCATGTGAGTGTGAGAGCGGAGCCATGCCTGCATACATGCAGAACCCGTGAGACGCCAGAGCTGAGCAGCAACTTTCAGAGGCTGGAGACCAGCCCCAGCAGAAACAGGGAACAGAAGGGATGAAATACAGGAGGCAGAGGTAGATTTGGTCAAGTGACCTGAGAGGAAAATGAGGGTCTTGGCTGGAAGCAAGAAGCCATGGGAAGATGCCACACCACCCAGGGACATGCCCGTGATCCACATAGACCCTTGCCCAGAGCGGCTGCCTCCAGGTTGAAGTGATGTCTGTTATCAGCGGGCAAAGCAAGGGGATGAGTGGAGAACAGGGAGCTACAAGTGAAGGGCTGAATTGCCAGGAGAAATTCACAGCCCTCTTCAGAGGCACTGCAGGCAGCAGGAAATGGCAGGGCTCCTGGGATGGTCCAGCCAGCAGCTCAGCCAGCGTGGGGCCATGCTGGCAGCGAGGCAGTGGCAGTAGTGGTAGCAGCAGCATATGTGGGTCATCTGCCCCTGTATTAAGCTCCCTACTTTCTGAGAGTTTGGGATAGGTTTACACCCTGACGTGTGAGGCTTAATATTCCTTCCAGAATTTGTGTTGGCATCCACTATTATAGCTGGATATTTTTGTTATTCCCATAAATGCCCAATCCCTCCTTGAATCACACTA